TGAGACCGTCCACTCCTGTAAAGATTTACATGATCTGAAACTCCATCGAGGGTCACTTTGAATCTACCTGATGGAAATGGTTTGATTCCGTTTTTGAATGACCACTAAAGAAATTGGATTTATAATTAGGCACTCTCACAATAGAAGTCTCCAGGCACAGATGGTTTCACTGGAGAGTCCTACCAAAAGTTTGAAGAAGAATTAATACCGATTCTACATGAGTTACTCCTGAAAATAGAAGAGGGAACACCCAAATTCATATTATAAAGTTAGTATTACTCAATATCAAAAGAAAACTGCATACCAAGAGCCTTCATGAACACATGTGAAGATCCTTACCAAAATATAAGTTTTGCAGTTACATCTTCATCTCCTGTCAACTTGCAAGGGGTGGAGTCTAGCCTGCCAATCAAGTCATAGCCAATAATGCCTCTGTGTGAGCATGGCCCTCCCCTCAGGATTCTGAGAACTGCTGCCTTCTTCCCTGGAGGCGGGACACACACACATTCTCTGCTACACATTCCTGTTGACAAGACTCATGGAGTCAAGCTGATGGAGCCAGAGCCCTGGAACTGGAGGAGCCACGGGGAGACCAGCGCCAGCACTGAGATGCCTCCACTGCCACTGAATCCAGAAGGCTCTCCACCCACTGGCCTGTGATCGTCCCGCATTTAGCATCATTGCATGGCTGCATGAGTCTGAAGAGGAATTTATAGACTGGTGTTGGACATATGGCTAATATCGGACTTATGGACTTGAACTGGACTGGGCTGGGATGTTTGCTTAATGTACAATTACTGTTTGATATAAAGTTCTCTCTTATACACATGAGTGTCTATGAATTTGTTTCTCTAGTCAACCCAGACTAACACAAGCAGAAAGTAGAATTCAGCAATATATAAAAAGAATTATATGTTATTATCAAGTGGGGCTTATTCCAGAAGTGGGAGACTAGTTCAATATTGAAATACCAATCAGTAGAATCCATTATATTAACAGCTAAAGGAGAAATCTACATGTTCACATCAATTGATACGGATAATCATTTGAAAAAATTCATATTCATTCATGATAAAAATTCTTCAAAAAAAAAGGAGTAGAGGAAAACTTCCTTAACTTGATAAAGAATGTCTATGAAAATCCCATGGTAACATCATACTAATGGGGAAGAAGGAATGCTTTCCTCTAAGGTCAGCAAGACAAAGAACTACAATAGCTAAAAAGATTTTGAAAAGGAATAAAATGAGAGGAATCCGTTTACTCAGATGAATGATTTACTATTCTGCTACAGTAATCAAGACAGTATATTTTTTGGCAGAGAAATAGACACAATGACCAATGGGACAGAGTGAAGAACCCACAGACTCATATACACATGACCAACTAATACTTGATAAAGCTACAAAAGTAATTCAGTGGAAGAAAAAATAGTCTTTTCAACAAATGTATAAAGAAATAAACATCCATCTAAGTCTTTCCTAAAATTAACTCAAAATGGATCACAGACTTAAATGTAAAACTTAGAAAACTAGAAATTTACAAGAAAACCACAACAGGAAATATCATTAGGGTCTTGGGTGAGGCAAATGGTCCTAGGCGTGCCACAGAAAGCATGATCCATGCGCAGAACAACGGACCCACTGGTCCTACGCCAAAAGGAAAACGTTTGCTCCGTGAAACCTGTGAAGAGGATGAAAAGGAAAACCACAGAATGGAGAAACTATTTGCAAACTACATATCCAACAAGGGACTCATATCACTGTGTGTGTGTGTGTGTATCGAGAACTCTTAAAGTTCAGCAGCAGCAGCAGCAGCACACAACGAACCATCAAGCTAGAAAACGAACATGAAAAGGAAAGGAGCAGACATCAAACAGACGGAAAATAAGCACAGGAATGGTCACTATCAGTATCAAATGAGCTATCCTTAACATCTATCAGAATGACTAGACGTTCTTTTCTATTTTGTTTATAAAATAAAAAACAAGAAAAACAAGGTCACCACCTAATGTTAGCAAGGATGCAGAGATGTAGAAAATGGATCTCTCATACACAGCTGATGAGAATGGAAAGCCATTCAGCTATCCTAGAAACATTTAAAAAAGCAAACCATTACCATATAACCTAGTAATTGTGTTTCTGGGCATTTATCCCAGAGAAATGAATATTTATATTCATACAGAAAGCTGTATGTGAATCTTTATTTGTGTTTGCCCCAAACTGGAGACAACGGATGTCTTTCAATAGGTGAATGGTTAAACAAACAGTGGTTATGCTGAACCATGGACTACTACTCAGCAGTAAAAAGATGCAAATGGATACACACAACAGCCTCGATGAATCTCCATGAATTACGAAGAATAAAAAAAGCCTATACTAAAAGGCTATAGGCTGCATATTTATATTACGGTGATGTTCTTATAATGACAAAATTAGAGATGTGGAGACACAGTGGTTGCACAGGGAGGAGTAGGGTGTTGAGGGGCTGGGGGCACAGATGTGGGTGTGGCTATAAAAGGCAACAGGAGAACTTTTTTTTTTTTTTCTTCAGGAGACCCTTCTGATGGCAATGGTCTGTGTCCTGATTGTATCAATGTTGCCACCCTGGCTGTGACGCTGTATGATACCTTTGGGGAAACTGGGTAGAGGGCACAGGAGAGCTCTGCGTCATTTCTTATAACTGCACGCAAATCTACAACTATTCTTTATTAAAAGTTTAATTTCAACTGCCTTATATGCAAATATTGGTCGACAACTCACTTTATAAACAACTATATACACATACTACACATTAAAAGAAAATCTAACCATTGATGAATCCAGATGTACTAGTCTTTCAACTTGCCCATACTTTTATCTGAAAATAAACATTGAGCGAAGATAAATAGTCTATATTTTCTTCACATTCCAGTTGGAAATGCTCCACTGCTAGCTCGTGCCCATCTGGCTATCCGCCTTGCTTCCACGTGTACCCACGGTCTAGTGACAAAGGCATCCTCAAAGGCCGAGCCAGAGAGGATGACAAACATCCTGACAAGTGGGGATGAATCATGTTCTGCAGTAAAAGGTAATCACTAACATTTTACTGTGTAAGCAGGTCTGAACTATTATTCTGCTCGGCATACTTAGAAAGCATATAGTTTCATATCTGAGGGGATGAAGAAATGTTATTTTGGCTTTTCACTTTTGAAGCATGAGTTTCCTTCTTTCCAGTGAAAGCACACCGAGCAGCAGTGCTCCACCAAGAGGTAATGCCTAGTACTACATCAGGTTGGCCTAAGGAGAGACTGGTGGCCAGGAGAGTCACACAGACGTGGGTTCAAATCACTGTCCAACCCCGGTGTCAGGCAAAAATGCCAAATGTAAAATAGGATTAATGTGGGGCTTTTTGTGAGGATTTAATAGCAAAACTAAAAATAATAATAATAAAAAGGTAAAACTCATATATAAAACTTAACACAAAAACCTCAATTACTTTTTTACTATTACCATTTACAATTACTTCTACTGAGGTAATCATCAGGTAATATAAGAATCTTCAGATGATAGATTTTTACGAGAACAGTTCCTGAAATTACTTTAGAGTTAACACTTAATAGTAATTTCCTTATATAGTTTTAGACTCAAGTAGGATAATGTATATAAACTCACAAACTCACTGCCATGGAGTCGGTGCTGACTCAGAGACTCCAGGACAGGGCAGAGCTGCCTCTGTGGGTTTCCAAGACTGCAACTGTTAACAGGAGCAGAATGCCCTGTCCTTCGCCCGATAATGCATATGGGAATTATATACATATAGGCATTTTACTCAAGGACTGATATAGTGGAAAAAATACAATATTTAAATTCCAAAAGGCTGAAAATTCAGCCCAGATCTCAGGATAGTACTGAAACTGCCTCAGCTTTCTCATTTTCAAAATGGGACCATATTCTCTGTGCAACAGAATTGCAAGGGTTAAAGCTGAAATTTTATATAAGCATACTTTATAAACTTAAAGCATGATGTGACATTAACAAATTCCAATTTTCCTATTTCCTGCATGAAACGTCATTTATATGGCTTTATCTTTCAAATCTGACAGGAAAACAATTTTCGAAAATAATACAGATTATTTTTAAAGGGAGAGGATTTTAAAAAAGTGATACCAATGAAACGGCAATTTCTAGTAGTTCTTTACATAAAAGTTGCATACATATAGGACAAATATTTCGCCACAACGGTTTTAATCTGATTGCCTTATAATTATGAAACGTTCTAATTATTTTTCCTAGACAAGGCAGAGGCATGTGTTAGTTATCAAAGTCAGGTCAGAGGCTCTCACTCTGAACTGTCTTTAAAAAGAAACCCTGGGGTCAGGGTAGTTGCCATGATTACCCACCCTTGGTCCCCACACATCTGGGCCCCCCGTGGGTTAGGAAGTGCCTCTGCATCGCCCAGACACAGAACCTGGCCCTTCGCTGAATTTCATACTTATGCTAATGTCTTCAAGTTCTGGCAACTCTTCTTCCCCAATACTCATTTTTCTCTGTCCCTGTGGCTTAGGTTCTCTCTTAGGCCCATTGTTTACGTTCTCGTTATCTTCTGGCTGGAGTACCATAGTCAGTGTTCAGTTAATTCGCTTCCACTTTCTCCAACTCTTACAATTCATTCTAGTCACCACTGCTAAATTAAATTTGCAAAAATCCTGCTCTGTCTCCTAAAAGTACAAGACCTTTAGCCTGGAGTACAAGGAGCTGCCAGAAGTAGAATAATTAGTCACCAGAAAAATGAGAATCCACCTGTTGTGTCCTATGCAGATGACATACTGCCACTGAGGCCCTGGCACAATGATTGCGTCTCCTAAAATCAGAGCTCCAGGCCACGCAGCTAAGGGAGGCTCCAATTAAAAGGGAGGGAAAGAACCTAAACATCATCTTAACTTATTTAAAATGTATAAGCTTTAAAACTTTTGCTAGAATTGACACTTTTGGGAAAGTGTTTCTAAATGTGAAAGAACCTACCTGGTACAGACAGGCTGCTGTTCCAAGGAAAAAGGCCATGATGTAATTAAAATCCTCACCATCACTCTGGGAAAAGAAAAGAAGAGGTTGTATTTTTCTGGTGCAAGCCTATCTCCACAACAAATCCAGTGGGACAGGATATTGACGATGTTGCGACACAAATGACCAAGCATTTCACAATGTGGAATGGAAAAATTCTCAAGAGTCCCAAAATGGGAATATGAAGTATACTGCAATGCGACAGAAGGAGGCTACAAGTGTTCCTCCATTTCTTGTCCACTCACAACAACTTCATTTCACCCAAGAGAAAAAGAAACCGGACAAGCGCGAGTGTTGCCACATGATGCAGTCTATATTCTCTCTGCCTAAGAAACCATGTGGCAGCACAACACCCCCGAGGCCTGTAGAGTTACTTCCGCTTACTAGGGTAACTATTTGACTCAAATAAATATTGACAGACTTTCCCATCTAGTAAGCACAGCACCGAATTGTCCAATAAAGTAATTTGACATGATTTAAAAGGTAAAACAAAATCATGAAAACTGAAAGCTACTGCCCACTAGAGTGTGCTAAATCCCAAGGAGAGATGTCGGGCCTCATCAGTCATGTAGTCCAGGCTAGAAAACCAGCCACTCTGCGGAAAAGCAGAGGTGGATCACACACAGAGAATTAAAACACAAACACAAAGGAACTATAACACTGCCCACTTTCCTATCTCTTCTGTCCCTCTTACATAGCCACTCTTATTGTTGTCTTCAAATGTTACTCTTCCCAGGCAGGCGAGTGAAGTGTGCTCCTTAAGAAGAAGTCTTTAAAGGAACTGTCCACAGGACTCAGGGTGTCTCTCCTGATCACGTCTTCGTGAACCAGTAGAAAGAGAAAAGTCCCTTTGGAATTATCAGGCAACAGAACTGGCTGTAAGACAGGGAGAGCGGCTTACCCAATTGAGAAGCTCTCAAAATGGGATCCATTAATCTGTCTGGGACGCTTAGGCCAGCTCGACACCAGAGACAGGGCAGGTCAACAGCAAACCTTCCCACTTTAATAGCTCTAAGACTTTAAATAAGCTCTGTAGATTTTTTTCCTTAGTCTTTTTTTCTGATTGTAAAGTTTATGTTTACTGCAGAGAATTCAGAAAATACAGGATAATACCAAAGTCAAACAATCTATAAAACCTCATGTATTTTCTTTTCAGTCTTTTCTAAGTAGATAACAAGGGGATTTGAAAATAAGTTTGTGGGAAAATGGAATTAAAAGAAAATGGGGGGGGGGAAAGATAACACAAATTTTCCATTAATCTTTTGAACTCTCATAGCTAGCTAGATAAAATCAAGCTCTCAAATGTACAATTCGACCACTGCCAACAAGTAGGTGTTATTTTTTCTTACGTTTACACTATTGCTTTATAACTATATTGCTTTGAAACATCACTTAAACATAAGTCCCTACTGTCAGTTTAAGGCAAGGGTTCACATTTTTACTTAGTATTTGTACGATATTGGGCCCTTTCTTTAACTTCCCTTCTTTTGGAAAATGTAAATCATGACTCACAAACGCTGTCAAACCCAAACCCACTGCCATCAAGTCGATTCCAACTCACAGCTACCTGACAGGTCAGAGCAGACTGCCCTTGAGGGTTTCCAAGACTGTGGCTCATGGCAGGAGTAGAAGGCCTCCGCATTCTCCAGAGGAGCAGCTCGTGGTTTCAATCTGCTGACCTAATCACTAGCAGCTCAATGCGTAACCCACTATGCTGCCAGGGCTCCTTAGAAAAGTTGTACAAATTAAGTAAGATTTGCAAACACAGGGCAATGAATGTAAAAATGTGCTTGACACAATTGATGTATGTATGGACTGTGATAAGAGTTGTATAAGCCCCCAATAAAATGATTTTAAAAAAAGATTTGCAAACACATACCTAGAAACATACCTAGCACACAGTTAGTGTGCAAATAGTTATCAACCTCTCTCTCTCTCTCTCTCTCTCAGGTCACTATCATTCATTTGATAATCTGGTTCTCCCTGAGTGCTGCTTACTCTCTGGTGCAATGACGACCTTATATTCTCAATTAGATCCTAAGTTCCCTTGATGGCAGAAAACAAATCTAACCACGTAGCTTACATGAAACTGTACACTACAAAACCAATAAATGCATGCTGAATGGAATTAGGCTTCCAAAACTTTAATTCCTCTTAATAAAAAGAACATTGAAACATATATCTGTTCAACAAATAGTAACACCTGTGGGGCAGTGCTGTAGCTCAAATATTAATAGACTTTACAATCTAGTAAGTATAGCATTGAATTGCCCAATAAAGTATTTTGACATGATTTAAAAGGCAAAACAAGTAATGTTAGCTGTTCAAAGCCACCAGCTGCTCAAGAGCAAGGTGAGGCTGCCTGCATTTGTAAAAATGTACAGTCTCAGAAACTCTACATAGGGCCACTGTGAGCCCGATTGACTCAGTGGCAGAGGGTTGTAATGGGACATCCAAATAATTACATTCAGTAGATATTTAAGTCTGGGTCAGGAGAGCTTTGACCTATACATTTAGTTTGGCATATCAAACCCAAAGTATCACATTTAAATAGAGATATGACAACCAAATGCAAGTCTTAATTCTTGATCAGAGAGGAGAAAACACTCGTTAAAGGACATTTTAGGGTCAACTGTAGAAAAACGGATTTTTTATATTATATTATGCATCTTCTTAAATTTCTTTGACATGATAAAAGGTATTGTGATTATATAGGAGCATTTCTAACTCCTAGGGACACATATATTGACTAATCTTGGGGAGGGGTAGTAAACAGTCCTAATTTATACAATTTTGTTTCCAAAACCAGGAACGAGAAGTGGTCTACAAGTGGGTGTTAACTGTATTGTTCTTTAAAAATCTTTGTTTATTTCAAATAAAACGTTGTACAGTTGGGAGAAGGGGAAGTGGAAAACAGAGAAACTTGTTATGCAGCTACTGAAAGAATGTTCTAGATTTCTGTGCACGCACCAACAGGAAAGTGTCTCCTAAGAACTGCTGGGAGAATAAAGTAAGATGCAAATCAATGAAGATATACTGCCATTTGCACAAAACTTGATTGTAAAAGAACTTATAAGTAAATCTATAGAAACAGATATACTAGCATATGCCTATACTTTGGAAGGATACATTAGTGGTTGGGGACAAGAAATGGGAAGGGAATGTTTCACTTTTGTGAAAATTATGTATCAACTTGAGCACACTGTGAAACTGACCATGTATACTTTCTTGTGTGTGTGTGTGTGTGTGTGTGTGTGCAGGGACTAGAGCAGGCGTCCTCAAGCTACGGCCCGCCAAGGACATTTATCCAGCCCACTGGGTGTTTTTGCCCCATCTTACTTCAAAATAAGATATGTGCAGTGTGCATAGGAGGAATTTGTTCATAGTTTTTTTTTTAACTATAGTCCAGACCTCCAACAGGTCTGAGGGACAGTGAACTGGCGCCCTGTTTAAAAAGTTTGAGGACCCCTGGACTAGAGGGTAGCAAAAAGATGATGGAATTTTTTTATTATCTTTAATTCTATTTTCCATAAACTTTTTGAAATACCTTCGTGTATGTGTGTGTGTGTGTGTGTGTGTGTGTGTGTGTACTAACCTTTTTTTTAAGGTCATGAAAATATTCAAGTAAAAAGTATGTAGTTAAAAGAAAAGAAAATCCAGGACAAAACACGAGGGCGGAGGTATGTCATTATTTAAAGGAAAGGTGAAGGAAGAAAATTTACCAAATAATCTGAAGAAAGAGAAAAAACAAAAGTAACAATAACTAGTTGTTTCAAACTACAGGGAACTGAAAAGGCAGCATTTGGTCAAATGCAAAAGCAAACGCAAAAAAAAAAAAATCAATGTGCAACAAACATAAAATAAATAATTTAAAAAGTGTTTTTCATGGAAATGAAGGTATCAAATTATCATGGAAAAAAGTTAATGCACCAAGCAAACTATTAAGAGCAATTTATTTTTATTAGATTTCTAAAATAAACATTACTTTTGAAATTAAAAAATAAAACCCAGCTGTCATTGAGAGGATTCCAACTGTGCAAGGCTGAAAGTGTACCAGCGCAGAGCTGTGCTTCACTGGGTAACTGTTAGTACCTGGGATTCTGAAAGTGATCACCAGGCCTTTCTTCTGAGCAACTCTGGTAGACTCAACCTATGACCATCTTAGTTTGCCACCAAGGGCATTAGCCATTTGTACCATCCAACAACTCCTTAAAAACACGTTTAAAGGGAGGCCACATAAGATCAAACCGTGAGAGTGGCTGCCACATTTGTCTCCCAGAAGGCTGGTGTTAGGTGCCATCGAGTTGAAGGATGAAGAGATAAACAGCAACAGTCACAAAATGTATCCCCAAACCCACTGCCAACAACCCACAGAGGCCCTCTGCACAGTAGAACAAAACGCTGCCCGTCCAACGGCATCCTCACGATCAATCCTAGGTTTGAGGCCAAAAAGGAGCTCATATCACGAGGTTTTTAAAAGAACGGCAGGTATAACATGTTAAATAGGTTGATGGAACAGCACTAGCAGAGAGGATACAGACGAAATGTAGGAGGTTAGTGGAAGCTGGGGGCAGAGGGGCGGAGAGGGATGGAGAAAGGGTGGGCCGAGGAGGGAGAGAAGCAGAGGTGGAGGCAGGAGAAAAGAAAGAGGGTGGAGAAGCAAGGAACTAACATACAACCTTTAAAAACTTCACTGTCACCTTTGAGGGTTACTAAAAAAACAAACAAAACAATGTATTATTATGAAAACTAGTAATACTTGTTTTCTTTTTAAGTGCAGACGAAGAGATAAGCCGCAATATTCACAAAATGTAGCCCCCAAACCCACTGCCAACAAGTCGATTCCAACTCACAGAGACCTGACAGGGCCGAGCAGAGCTGTCCTCAGTTTCTGAGACTGTAAAGCCTCACAGAGGCAGCACTGTTATCTTTCTCGGCACAGAAAGTACTAGGATGACACTACTAAAATGTTAATAGTAACTTTCAAAGACTCACTTTTTAATCTTAAGTGACAAAAAAGGGCACAA